TTATGGAGTAGTCAACATTTGTTCTCCCATTCACTACCAAACCGTTTACACGTAAACCCATCAACATGTGGACATCTTCAAGGGTGACTGTGGATTCACCGGTAGGAAGATGGAATGTGTGTGTCTCCGGACGCCATCTTTCACATAAAGCAAGAATAAATTTCCTATCCACCCCATATGACGTTATGTTGAGTACGTGCCCAAAGCCCGCTTGCATCAAATATGGACGGATCATTTCGTCTACGCGCACATATGAGTGTGTACGAGGCCTAAATTTTTTCTCATTCTAAAAAAAAATAGTTAATATTAGAATATGGTTAATGTCAGAAGTATATGCTTAAAATTTTAAAAAATTTATACGTAAAAATATTCAAGACTTACATATTGGAGGATGTTTGACAATGTTCCTCGGTGCTCCTCTCCATAGGTTAACAGAGACATTATAGTAAATTGAGGTGTAGTGTAAAATTATGATGAGAAATAATAGATAAAGATTGAGTGTGATGTAAATTTTGAAAAAATGAGTAGTATTTATAGAGAAATAATGTAGGGTTTTTATTCAAAACATTTAATGGAAAACAAAAAATTGGTTGGGTATTTACTCTGCATGCATGCTGCGTACGTAGACTCAGGCTGCATGCACAATTTTGCAGGGTCCGCCTACTTAATGGGCGGAAGCCTTCTAATTTTCTGACACACCGCATATGCAATGGGCGGACATGTTTCTTTTTGTCTGCCATCTGCACTTTGAATGGGCAGAAGCATGCATTTATGCCTGCCTAGGGCGCAGAAGCAATGGGCGGAGCCTGCATGAACTTCAATGCGTCCGCCTACTCATTGGGCGGAACCCTTTAACAATTAAATGACACCGCTTCTGCATTGGGAGGATGATTTATTACAACATAAATTCAATTCTTCCTGCGTTTATTTATTACACCATATCTACTAAACACAAAATCTATTTCATTTAAATACACCTCTACCTCCTACTTTTTTTCATCAAGCCAACCCATCACAAAACCAAATTTCTCCTACAATTCAGATTTTATTCACTAAGAAATCAACATGTCTCAAATACCTCAATACATAGTAGATGCTCATTACAATGGAGACATCCTTATCTCCGATGAAATGGGCATTATATTCGAAAATACCGATATATGCCGGTTCAAATTAAGTAGAAATGCGAAATTTGAATATTTGAGGGAGAGGATACAAACAAGGATGTAATCTGGAGTTGTCTCACAAATTATATATCGAAATGCTGTTAATTTCGGTGTTAACCAGGTGAAATATGTTCCACTGAAAATCCGAGATGATGATGATGTGGAAATGATGTTTTACAACCATGAATTATCTGGGTTACATGCGATAGATTTATACATAAAATTTCAAACTTCTCAACAATCTCAAATCTCACAAGTGGCCAATCCCAATGATGCTGAGCCCGTGTCCATAATTCCCGAGGAAGTCGTTGTCGAAGATGACGAAGAAGAGGAGACTGAGTCACAAGCTGATGATTTGTTCACTACTTTATTTGAAGACGGTGGACGTGACGAGGCGGATGCAATCAACGAAACTGAACAACATATTCCACTTGAGAATGTCTATTGTCCACCCGCCCACATGACAACTCTGGATACAGCTGGAGATGAATCATCCTTTCAATGGCCCAAAAATCCTCGTCTTCCGCTGGAGGATGACATAGCTGTTGGGAACCAGTTCAAAAACAAATCTGACTGTGTCTTTGCGATATCCAGGTACCATATGAAACATGTCGTTGATTTCAGGGTTATGTGTTCTGACACAAAGAGATATAAAATTTGTTGTAAGCGAAGTGGTTGCAACTTTCGTCTAGTGGCATCCTATAGGAAAAGGAGCAACCTATGGGAGATAGGAATCATGGAGCCCCCACATAATTGTTCAACGACCATCTTTAATCAGGATCATCGACAACTAAGCTCTCGACTGATGAGTGAACGATTAATGGTTGGAATAACACTACATTTGTCCATGTGTATTGTATCAGGCATATTGCGCAAAATTTTATGAAGGATATCAAGGACCGTATCCTCCGGAAAAAAATAATCAACATGGGTAAGTACTTTTTATGCAAACATTACATGCTCGTTAATAGTATACCATTATATTAACCAATATTTTTTTTAACATGTAGGGTATGCGCTGAACCAACCAACATTTAAATATTATCGTAATGAAGTTGGGATGGCTAATGGTGATGCTTTGAGGTGGATAGACAGAATTCCCGTTGAAAAATGGACGAGGGCGTTTGATGAGGGTCGTCGTTGGGGGCACATGACAACAAACCTTGTCGAGTCACTAAATTCCGTATTTAAAGGCACTCGTAATCTCCCCATCACATCGTTAGTAAGTGCAACATACTATAGGATGGGAACACTCTTTGCTGAAAGGGGTGCAAAGTGGAGTGCAGTTTTGAATTCTGGACAAACATTTACAGAACGGTGCGTGAAGGTGATGAAAGAAGAGACGTCTAAATCCGCCACACATCAAGTAAGCATTTTTGACTATAATAATAACACTTTCAGTGTGAAGGAGACAATTAACCACGGTGAGGGGAAGCCATTGGGGCGTTACAAGGTCAACCTAATGGAAGGATGGTGTGATTGCGGAAAGTTTCAAGCATACCGTGTTCCTTGTTCACATGTTATCGCTGCATGTTTTGTGGTACGCCAAGACGCATTTCTTCTGTTGTCTGACGTTTACAAGGTTGCGAACTTATTTGGGGTTTACAGCACGAGCTTTCCAGTTCTACCATACGATGAGTATTGGCCCACTTATGAGGGAGATCAAATTTTCCATAATCCAGTTATGCGGAGGAACAAGAAAGGTCGTCCCGTGAGCACCCGTATTACAACAGAAATGGACGCATATGATAAGTTGGAGAGAAAATGCACATCGTGTCGTCTTCCAGGTCACAACCGAACGCGATGCCCCAATGTAGGAACTAGTAATAATTAGTTATTTATTTTGTTATCAATCTGCAAAGTTGTATGTATAATGACACCGAGTTATTATGTTTCATTTCACTAATACTTCTGCATTTAATATAAATAACAATTCGAAAAAACAACACATAAATTAAAATACTGAGACGAATAGTAGAACTTAGCAACAACATTAAACGTAAACAACATCAACATGTTCAAACAAGGACATAACCATTTCTAGGATATTACAATCAGCAACACAATGTCTTTTTGTTGAAGCATCATCGTAAGAACACATGCGTCGTTGTGAACAAGTCTCCAAGAACGAGTGGGTCCATTTAAGCCAGGCACCGTAACTAACCTCTCTATTTTCCGAATCTTTTCACCTTGGGCAATTTCTTCCCCTAACCATCCCTCCAAGTGCCTATGCAGATGCTCAAATGTCTGCGTGTTCAACAATTTGATCTTCATCGGAGGCTTTACTGGAGAAAAAATAAGTTCTGCGTCTCTTTTCATATATGGAAACATTGAAAACTCCCCGGATGTTGAAGACATTTTTAAGATACAACTAAAGAAAAATAATTTAAGTGTAGCTTGGATCATTCAACATCAACGATATTTATAGGTCACAACAAAAATTTTAAATTAATAAAATAATAAAACCCTCCGCCCATTAACGTGGCGGAGCCGTAAATAAATAATAAAATTACGAAAGCTTCCGCCCATCGCACTGGCGGAACCGTACTGAAATAATAAAATAATAAAATGAATAAAACCCTCCGTCCATTGCAGGGGCGGAGCCGCACTGCAATAATAAAATAACATGACCCTTTCTATGATTAATATTTTAACATTGATTTCTTACTTAATAATAATTTTAATTTATTTTTAAAATTACATTAAAATAAAATTTATTTGTATAGTAATATTTTAATATTTTAATAATTTCATTAAAATGACTTAAAATTTGAATTTTTCAATTTCTTTTTATACAAATATATTGATTTCTTACTTAATAATAATTTTAATTTATTTTTAAAATTACATTAAAATAAAATTTATTTGTATAGTAATATTTTAATATTTTAATAATTTCATTAAAATGACTTAAAATTTGAATTTTTCAATTTCATTTTATACAAATATATTGATTTCTTACTTAATAATAATTTTAATTTATTTTTAAAATTACATTAAAATAAATTTTATTTGTATAGTAATATTTTAATATTTTAATAATTTCATTAAAATGACTTAAAATTTGAATTTTTCAATTTCTTTTTATACAAATATATTAATTTCTTACTTAATAATAATTTTAATTTATTTTTAAAATTACATTAAAATAAATTTTATTTGTATATTAATATTTTAATATTTTAATAATTTACTTAAAATGACTTAAATTTGAATTTTTCAATTTCATTTTATACAAATATATTGATTTCTTACTTAATAATAATTTTAATTTATTTTTAAAATTACATTAAAATAAATTTTTTTTGTATATTAAAATTTTAATAATTTTATTAAAATGACTTAAAATTGAATATATCAAATTCATTTTATACAAATATATTATTTTTTTATTTAACAGCAATTTTAATATATTTTTAAAATTATTTAAAAAAAAAACGTTGATCACACAGCTCCGCCAATGCAATGGGCGGAAGCTGTGTATTTTTAAGACCATCCGCCCATTCATTGGGCGGAGCCTCTTAATTCCAAATTTTTTTTTTTTTGAAAAGATGGTATATTGGGAATAATGGTTGAAAGGTGTGGTATATTGGGGTATAGTTGTTAAAAGGGGTGTATGTTGGTAAAAAATTCGTGATTGAAACTTAACCCAAATGTTTTAACCTTTGTTTCTCTAATTTGGTTTTTAAAACATTGTTATATACACGAAAGTGAAGTGCCTTTCCCTCATAAATTTGGTACCAACCCTACTGCTCTACTCTACCTCCCCATCTGTTACGTGTTGTTCTCTTCCTATTCATTTAATCTCCGTGTTTGAGCCAACAAGGAGCCATAATGGAAGGCATCACAGGCAGCATGAAAAGAGGTTTCAAGAAATACTGGAAGAGAAGAAAGGGTTATCAAAGAGTCACCAAATCAAGTCGAAAGAGGAACACGGTGAAGCTAGGAGGAGAATCAACCACCGGAGCAAAGAGGAAATGGAGCATGAAAATCTCTCCAAAGATCAAAATTCCAACAATCTCTCCCCCCAAGAAATGGATGGCGTGGATGAGAGACTCCTATGTGAGGATGATGGTGGCTTTGGCTAACTCCAAGGTGGTTAAAATGGGTAGCTTTGGTGACCCTACTGCTGGATTTGGGAGGAACCAACAACCTAAGGAGTATGATAGTAAAATGATTGTTCATATGTATAATTCCTTCGTTGTGGCTCAGGGACATTTGCTTCCACACGATTTAGCTTCGAAATTCGCCTCCACAACTACTTTGCCAAAGGTCAACGAATTACTATAGTTTCATGTAAACTCAAATTTCAATCCTTTCGTCTCTGTTTTCTTCATCATTCTCAATATCATCCATAAATGCAATAGATTCATGATTCTATTATAGAATTAGATTTCCACATAATTTATCTTTACAAAATCGACTATCGAGACTCATTTAAAATTGATATCCCGACTTTAAATAAATTATCGGTATCTAACAATCTTAATCTCGTGGTTATGATTTAAGCGTGTTTAAGTAAAGTAATGAAAAATATTAAAATAATTCAGTTTGTAAAAGTGATTTTTGCATAAAAAATATTGAAATGAAAACTTGGGAACTAAGCACTTATGGGAAAAAATGCTTATAGATTAAGAAAATACAATACTGGTGAATTAGTGAGTTTGTTGTGGTAGATAGGGTGCATATTTCCGACATTAGTACGAATCGATATCATGTTAGTTTGTAGTACAATTTTCAGTAGTTAATTTGTCATCGGGACATGAAGTTTTGTGCATTATAATTTACGTCTTCAAAACAATAAAAGCATCTCCATTCACTAAATTTTAGTAATTTTTTTGTATATAAAGAAAAGTGATAGTAATAGATTTTTCTTTGTGCTTGCGCTTGTTCCAATCTAAAGTATTTTTATGATGATGTTTTTTGTTTTTAATATAATGTTAACTATTTTATTCAATTATATATTTTAATTAATTAGATTTTATACATCATTCTTAAGTCAATCTCCTACACTCTTTGTTTATTGTAATGATGAATATAAATTTATTCTATTAATAATATAATTTGGGGTTTAAATAGAGGGCTCACAAGGAATCTTGTGGGGGTGTGACACACAAATCATAAAGCTTATTGGGCGTGTTTGACCAATTGTTGAAGTTTTTCTTTTATATGGTTTCGTGGGCTTTATTCAACTAAAGGATAGTATTATATCAGTGTTGTCAGTACATTTTTGCGTATTTTTGCGTGTTCAAATTTAAATTGATTTAAATAAAAATTTTAAATCGATTTAAAAAAAAAATGAAAACAATAAAAATCAAATATTATTAGATATATTTATGTCATTTTGTAAAAGTTATTTGGTTTGGATTGAAAAGCGAATCAAATTGCATGTATATATTTTTATTTTTATTTATTTTTTAATTATTTTTTTAATATGATATTTTATATTAATTTATTATTAAATAATATTTATTTCTTAATACTACTTATTAGTTCAGTTTAATGTATTTATTTTTATTATTTTATTTGTTTCAACTATAATTGATCATTCTCTTTTTGGAATATTAATTTTTAATATGTTATATGTGATATATCATATCAAATCTATCATTTATTAATATTTTATAATATAAATAAAAAATATATTTTGTAATTTGAATATCGAAAAAACTATTTAAATTAAATCACATGAAATTGGATCGGATTAGATCAGATTTTTTTAATCAATCATTCAAAATCGAACAAACTGGGAGTAAATTTATATTTGTATCAGATGAATTTTTATTTCATGAATGATCAAAACCGCACCACAAACACCCGTAACTACACCTAATGCAGCGATCACACACCATATGTAAGCCCAAAATACCCTTCGTATCATTTGAATTTTAAAATCTTGACGCGCCTATTATACACCAAGTCACTAAATCAATGTGGCACCCCCATATTTGCCAAAAATATGTCCGAAATTTAATCTTAGGATACAATCCATATTCCTATATCTGAAAATCCAAGTAACAAAATTAATTTGACTATCACCTTGCATGTATAATACCATTCATGATCTTCATAATTATAAACTCATATTTTGAAAAATCCTACAAAATTTTCCTTCCATTCTCATTCAAGAATTTTATTTCAAAATAACATTCTTCTGTATTTTGGCATCAGCAGGAGCAAAAGAATAAGAAATTCTAGGTAATGTACATGTATTATATTGATCATTACATGAGTTCACCTAGTTTACTATTATGTCATATTGTGTTCTGAAATTGAAATGCATACTATTGTGATGTTGAGTTTGAATTGTTTTTTGTTATGATTGTTTATAGTTGTGATGCTCCCTGATAGTGTCTCTAGTGTTATCTCTAAGGCTATTGTATTTATGGATGTTAAATCGGGTGAGGTTGATGTTGGAAAGTGATTTACAAATAAACAAGAATTTGTTATTCGTGAACACGTGCTTCAACGGATCCACACAAAAGCTTCCAAATTAGAGGTCGACATTGTAATCGAGAGGTAGGATTTTGGTAGAAGACATACATTTGTGACGATGTGATGCAAAAGAAGTCACAAGTATATAAAACTTATCCAAAAGTTGAAACCCGATGACACTGGAACAAGGAAATGTGAATCCTTTTAAGTTGTATGGGTACCTCAAGGAAAATAATGCAAGGACATTTAATGTGATTTATGGTATATATGACTATACTTTGTGTCACAAGTTAGTCAGTTATCTGATTGTATGTTGTCTGAATTCTGAAGAGAAAAACTTGTCTCTGAAATGACAATGACATGGTTCACTCCCAAAGACATACTCTCGACTATGAAAAGGAAAAGACTCAAAAGTGTCACAAATATTAGGCAAATGTACAATGTTCGCACCCGAACCAATAAGGCAATAAGAGGTCCAAGATCTAAAATGCAACAATTATTGAAGCTTTTGAATGATAATTATTATGTATCTAGGTAAATAGTGTGTGAGGATAAACCGTTTGAGATATATTTTAGACTCATCCTAATTCCATCAAATTGTTCAACATATTTTCCACTTTGCTCATAAATTATTCAATATATAAGACCAACAAGTACGTGATGCCACTTCTAAAAATTGTTGGTGTTACTTTTACATATATGACTTGTTCAGATGACTTTTCATTTTTTGGATGTGAAAAAGAAGAAAATGTTATGTGGGCTATGGAAGTGTGTCAAACCATGTTGAAAGACTAAGAAAACATGCCACAATTTATTTTTATCGATCACGACACTACACTGACGAATTCGGTTGCAAATGTGTTTCCTACATCATATGTTTTATTGTGTAGGTATCATATAGAAAAAATGTGAGAGGTGGACTTATCTTGTGATAAAGACCAAATAAATCAAGGGTGAACACGTGAAAATGGTTAAACCTAGTGTGATATTGGAAAGCATAATTGATGCTTAGAATGCTATATTTTATTCTTCTACTAAGGATTTATATATGTCAAAAGTGTTATATTGTTTAGAAGGGTGTATGTATCATATTAGAGTTTCTTGAAATATGTTGAAAGCACAGTTCTAGACTAGGTGTAGGAGAAGATTTTTTGTGTTTAGACCGATCAAGTTAGATGCTTTAGAAATACTAAAACTAATATAGTTGAATCATCTCAGGCTACACTGAAGAACTGATTAAGGAATATTAAAGGGATTTGTGTACGGGTTGTGAATCAGTGCACAAAATGATTCAAAATCAAAATAACGAGATCCAAATGCCATTTTGTTGAAGCATCACAATATTAGAACATGAACTTGGAGACAAAAATATTTATTCACAGTTGGTCGACAATATATCTTGAGCGGGATTGAATTTTATTTATCATGAAGTTAAGCAAGAAGAGAAAACATGCTCAACTAGCTCAAAGTGTGATTGTACATTTAGGAAACATATGATCTTTTGTAGGCTTGTTTAATTTCCAAATGGACGAAATATTGATAGAACTGTACGTATTTTATGTATGTGATACAAAATTTTTATTTTAATTGGTGTTTTATTCATCTCTTGTCTGAAATTGCTTCTGGTTTTGTGAACATAGTATATTATAGATTTTGAAATCTAAAAAAAGACAAGAGATTTTAAAATCCATATTGTATTTAGGATGATTTTGTAATTAAGTAGTAATATCAGTGAAGAATCTGAATTTTGATACCGAACTCTTTTTTAAGATTTGCTTTGGCGTGTTTCATAGTTTTTTGTGAATTTCAAGAGCATCTGGATTTTAAAATATGAAATCTAGGAGTTTTTTTGAATTTCTCCGTTGTGTGTGAGTAAATCATGTGGTGTATTAAAAATTCTTCTATTATGTTGTCTTTTACTCAACGTTGTCATCTAAAATTTGAGGATCAATCAAAAATAAAGAAATTACATCCAATATTTATTAAAATAAAAAACATGTTGACAAATTCCATAAAATAAATTAAAAAGGTCAATAAAATTATATTTTAAGTTTATGAGTCGATTGAGAGTATGGAAGATATTAACACCTTACGAAATACATTTAAAAACACATAACTATAGATAATTGTACAGAAACATTGTTCTATTTAAAATATTTAGTTTATTCTTTTATTAAGTGAAAGTTTAAATTTAATTTAAAATTATTTATTTATTTATTATTTTTCTAAAAAATGTATTAAATGGAGAAAAACTAAAAATTTTATTACTGTAATTGACAAGAGTGGTATCTTACTGGTGTGATAGAGAAATCAAAACTAGTAATTTTTAGATAGAAAATATTTCCACATCGATTGATCTTAAAAAAAATTGAATACATACTATAAGTGGGTTTTGAATTTTAACATGAGTAAAATATATTGATAACTTCTAACTTATATTTCTTTGATATGAGTAGGGGTGATAAAATAGGCTCGCCTGCCGGACATGCATGTTTTACCCGTAGTTTTTGACAGGATATGCCAAGATTTTGGGCTTGCTAATCTAATATGTCAGTCCCGCTCCGCCCCGCCTTATGTCTGTGGGCATTGGTGGGAGTGTCTATTAATGGGATAAATATATCGTTGCCACTTTTAGACTGTATGGGGTGCATGGCTCACAGAACCCCATCCTATTTTTTATGGGGTGAGTCAATGAATTTAGTCTTCCCCTTTATTGGATCGATATCGGATCCAAAACTTAAATTAGACACAAATTCTGGTTTCATTTTAAAGACTCAATTTCGATCGATAAAATTTTAGTTTCCAACCGATTCAATTAAATTGATTTGGAGGTTAAATCGAGTGAGTTTGGTTGG